CTTGCTGAGGAGGCACTCTATCCCTTCATCCAAGTCATTGATGAATAAGTTGAACAATAGTGGACCCACTGCTGAGCCCTGGGGGAAATTGCCCCCTGGGAATTGCCCCGTTGGCACAAATCAAACGAAGCGGAGTGCAACATAGGGAGCTTCTCTTCCCGAGATCTTCTCTTTAAACCCATTGCAAGGCAAAGTGGCATGCTCTTAAGCTTGATATGAGATAAGAGAGCCGCACTCTTCGCACACTGAGCTGTTCTCAGTCTCTAGCAAAGCGGCCTTGTGATGAGAACTTAACTGTGCTATGTTCTAGATCGGCCACCTAAAAAGGCTCTCCTTTACTAAAAATGATCAACCTCTGCTCCTTTGACAAATGGTGACATAAAGTGCAGCTTTTCCAGCCTGCCTAAGGTACTCACTTAGCCAGATACATCCTCCCTCAAAGGAAATGGCACAGGTTCATGCACATCACAGCTGCCCTTTAATTTCTCTTGCAATCTGTGTTCCCAGTCTCTAAAACAAGAGCAGGCTGTTCAGGCTGCTTTTTACACCTACCCAATTATCTCCCCCTCTCCATGGCTGTCCCACCTTTTCCAGGCATCTCCTCAACTGCAGCAAGCTTGGAAACATCCCCAAATCCAAATGACCCAAGTTGTCCCCAGCCTACCTCACCCCTCGGCATGGAAGATGCTCGCACTGCGCTCACTGCTGGCTAAAAGAGCTGGGTTGCAATGATTTCCCCCCGCATCGCCCTCTCCAAGGATAACCCGGTAAATATTAAAGGCTAAATTAATCCCTGGTGGAGCTCTATTGACTGACTTGGAATTATATTGCACCAAAAAGTGAATTGGCTGTCAGCATTTAGGTATGCGGCATACCAGCTGTGGTTACATGGGCGGCTTCCGTTCAGATTTCTATTTAAACACCAGTTTTTTCCTCATTCTCAGTTGGGTGAAGTATTTTCCTGTTCCCACTGACAGAAGTCAGTAGGGATCCAGGCTGCATGAGCAGGACCTGACAAAGGTACTGTATACTATCTCCTTACCTACCTGCAAAAATAGCCCAAAAAAAAAAAAAAGCAGCGCACTGGAGTCTTAGGGTAGCATCTGCAGGTTTCTAGCTTCTTCAAAATTACGAGGGGTTTATTTTTTATTTTTTACTTTAAAAAAGTTGTTAGAGCTGGCATCAGATGCCAACTTCCACCCGGCAGCAGTACCAGGGAGGTCCAGCCCAGCTCATACCTATGCACCACAAAAGAAAGGGTATCGCTGGGAGGTGTTGCTGACTGTGCCATTCACCTCAAGACTTTAAAGGACTTTAGTGAGGAACATGTAAGCGCTATCAGCCAAATTTATTGATGGGAGAAGAGTTGAGGAACTGTGCATTGAAGGGACTTGCCTGCAGCGAGCTGGCCGGTGACGAGCGCAGGCAGCAAATGAGCCTCCAGGTTAAACGAAAGCAGAAAATCACAGCAGCAAAAGTTTAAAACATACCTAAGCGTTATCGTGGAATGAAGTGAATGCAGGTGCGTGCTTAGACGTATTGCAAAGCGAGGATTAAAGCCGAGGACTCTGCTTTCTGAGCTGGATCACCAAGCGTGATTCACGACAGCAGTGAGGGCTGGAGGCAGAGGAACGCAAAACACATGGCCCAAAAGGACACGACGGGAAAGCAGACGGTAATTACGTGACCATCTGCAAGCCGCAGGGCTGCCGGACGGGGCTTTAGCGAGCGCGGGGCACTCACGCA